CCTCACGTGACCCTCTTTTTCATGTTTTCATTGAATCATTGGTAGGAAAATGGTTATTTAGCTCTTTTTTTTTTTTTGACAATGGAAAGAAATTGTATCCCCAATTGTAAAAAAAAAAAAACTCTTTAATGAACAATTTTCCTGGAAAACAAAGTCAAACGAATACTAAAAGATCCAAAATTTCAACATTTTTCAGGTGGAAAATTATACTAATCAAATACAATTAATTGACAATTCCCGAAAAAACAAGTTCTAGACAATTATTTTCTCTGAAATTCTTTTTCTTTCCACCCATTTTTCATTTTTGCAATCAAACAGACCCTAAATAAAATTCTTCTTTGAATAATGAGTGGTAGTGGTGGCAATGACAACGGGTTGGGTTGGAAGACAAGGGAAGGGTGGTTGGGACACGGGTAGTGGATCTTAGGATTGAAACGATGAGTCCTGGTTTCACATTAGTGTCATGTATTAGGAACCAGTTGTGCAAAACAAGTTATGCAGAGTCCTTTTCTTGCCTATCACGAAATTTCTCCTATTTCTTATTTTCGTCCGAAAATAACAAAGCTCAAAAGAGTTAATTTAATAAATTTTGATTTAGAATGTTGACATTTAGATTTTTATGGTCATTGCTCGAGAAAACAATAATTATCTTGGCAAGTTCAAGTTGTACGTACGTCCATAATTCGAGTTTATTCCTTCCAATTTTGAAATTTTATTTCTGTTAAGAAATATAGAGTTATTTTATTTTATTATTTATTAAGGATAGAATAGTTTTTTCAATTTTTTTTATTTAGCTTATATATAGTTTCTTTGTTTTTAGGTTAAATCATTCTTTTATATTCAATTGCATTATGCATAATTAATTAAATATTAGCCTCTTTTTCCTTTTCTTTATTTCTTTGGATTGATTAACATGATATCAGAGCTGTTACGATCTTAAACACGTTAATCTTGAATTTTGTTTTTTTTTTCCTTTTCAGATCCTCCAGGTAGCAATTTCGGAAGAAACGTGAGAATTGGTATTACATTGGAAGAATCAAGAAAAGGGACTTACTGGAGGATACGACTTTTTGAAATCTTCTCCTTTTTAGGAGCAGTTACACATATACGTTTGTGGGATTCGAGAAGTTCTTTCGATTATTTTTTTCCCGGATGTGTAGGAATTGTTTGACTCCATATTGGGATCAGAATCCAGGTGGGGGCAAGTTTACATGCTTATATTGCGGGCATATTTCAAAAAGACCTGTTCTTGACTTGCCCGAGTCTCTAGATTTGGGGAGTTCAGGAATTATGAAGTATTTAGTGGGGAAATGTGGAACGGTGTTCAATGGTAAAATTTGGCTGGAGAATGGGAATTGGGTTGGGGGACCTTTTGATGGGAAGTCAAGTTACTGGAAGAAGAATGGAGGTGAGTATGTTGGTGGGGAAAATCATTGTTTGGCAGAGAATTCTTATTCCCACATTGTTATTTTTACCTGAAAGGTATTTACAGCTTTCTTTTTTGAGTATCTTGTGGCTTTGGAGGAAGATATTTAAAGTTAGTTCGTCCAGAGATGATAAATCAACAGAAGCAGAGCTCATACGGCTATTGGATAAGCGAGGTGAGAATGGTGGGAATTTTGATGAGAGTAGAGGAGAGAAAGCACGCAGAAAAGTTGAGAAGAGTTTGGAAGTGGGTAATGGTGAGTTTTCTGGGAAAACTCTGGTTATAGAGGAGTTAAATGGAGATGGATTTTCTGGTGAGGTCGGATCGATGGAGGGCTCCGGCCGAGAAGATGCTAAAATATGGGTTGTTAAGAAGGGTAATGATGGATTTTGCGAGATAAATAAGGTTAAGGAGGATCTGAAAAGAGATGGGTTTTGTGGGAAGTTGGCTGATTTTGGGTGTTGGAATTGGATTAGAATCGTGAATGGTGAAATTGTTTGGGTAGTAGTGGGTTTGAGTTTAATTTTGGCCAATAGTTTTAGTATTGGCAGTGGACTATTGGTTTGTGTTGATGTTGGGCTTATGTTTATAACTTGTGTTTTGATAAAAATAAGGGAAAAATTCATATTTAATGTGTATTCTTTATCACAATTCAAAAGTAAGGTAAACAGTTTGAAAATTCAAAAATCAAGTATGAATTTAATTCATTAAAAATATTTATTAAATAAAGATAATAAAGTCACAGTTTGTGATTAATGGTCACATATTCATAATTATAAGTTACAGATTTATTTACTGGTCACATAACGTCAAATTTTTTTATNTAAATATAATAAGATCATAGTTATATAATTAATAGTCACATATACATAATTATAGGTCATAGGTCACATATTTTAAAATTAATTGATCACAAATTGTTTCGAGGTCACAAATTTTTAAATTAGTTGGTCAAATATTATTTTTGCGTTATATATTATTAAATTTTTAGATCACAGTTGAGTAATTGGTCACAAATTACCAAACATTTGGTCACAGATTACCAACATTTGGTCACGGATTACCAACATTTGGTTACAGACTACCCCCTGTCTACCTCCCACCACGCCCCGCCCCACCCCAAAATGAAAATCCAGAGCCCAGTCACTGTCACACCGTCTAACCACCATAGTCACTACTGTACCGTCCACCATCGCCACCTTCGCCTTCTAACCACCACCACCTGTCAACCATCATTTTCAACTACAAAACTATCACTATCACCGCTAGATCCGCCACCACTAAATCCAACAAAAAGCACCGCAACCACCAGATCCACTACCAACGCCGACAACAAAAACCACAGCCTCTACCCGATCGAAACCACCACAACTGCCACCCAAACACGCCAAAACCGCCAGCATCCTACATCACCTCCAGCATCACACTCCACCACCAACTGTAGTGAGATCTGAATCTGTAGCCACAGTCGTCGCCACCGCCACCAACACCATCGCTACACACCATTACAATCGCAACGAGATCTGAATCTGAATCCGTATCCACCACCTCACCACCATCCCTAACACCATTAACACCCCATCGCCCCCCACAATTGTCAAACACAAATCAATGATGGTCTTGGGTCATCTTACCAAATCCCCAAGCCGCAGCGACGTTCTGAGATGTGAGAACTGCGACGAACAACTAAGAGTGCTTCTGCGATGAACAGAGGCCGATGGGATGCCCTCGCGCCACCGATTGGGAGAAGGGAAGGGGGGAGGAGAGGAGAGGAGGCGAGAGACAGAGAGGGGAGGGAGGAGAGAGGTAAAAATTAAGGTTAGGGATTTTATATATTACCTGATTTTTGAATAATGAAATTTGGTCCCTAATTTTTGAATTCCAATCTTCAAACCCCTGGAATTATGTAATTTCCTCTAAAAATAATTGTGTTTGTTATATTAGGTTTGGTATTTAGTGTGGACTGCTTTTAAGTGGTAATTTGTTTGGGTTGCAATCTAGCTTCTTTTGTCAGTTGGTTGTGTTTATTGGGGTGTTGGAGTAATTGGGCCAATTATTTAATTGGTTTCATTTTATTGTGAATTGTTAGCTTGTGTGGGCTGGAAATTTTGATTTGGGCCATGAGTTTTGTTGGCTATTCGGTGTTTTGTTTTTGGCCCGCGAGAGTTGTTGTTGGTGGCTTTTGTTCAGAGTTGGATCTTTTCTCCTCTTAAACTTATTTGGAGTTTTTCTTTAAAGTTTTGGTTATAGTAGGTAATCTGAAATTTGGTTTGGTATATGTCAAGTTCATGGGATTGGAAATACGGTTCGGTATATGCCCAGTTCATGGGATTGAAAATTTAGTTTGGTATATGCTCGATTCACGGGATTGAGAATTTGATTTGGAACATGTCCAGATCATCTGGAATTTGATTTGGTGTTGGTTCGGTGTATCCGAAATTTGAAATTTGCATCCAATTCATTTGGTATTCGTGGAGCTGAAATTTGAAATTTGCATCCGTTTGGTTATATTGGTGGATGATGATTTTTCATTATCATCAACTTTGAGTTCTTTGTTCGGCTTGGTTGACACACAAGCAATTTTGAAGATTTGATTTATGTAGACTGTCACTATTTCCCTACCTTTTGTCTCTTCATCGTTGTAGCTTGCTAACTTCTTCACGAAATCACATCCGGTTTATCGTTTTTGTTTCTTGCTTGGCAAACTCTAGATACTTCTTGTAGCAACATCATGAGTTTGAGAAGAAATGTTAAGAAATATAGAATTATTTCATTTTATTGTTTATTAAGGGTAGAATAATCTTTTCAATTTCTTTTATTTAGCCTATATATAATTTTTTTGTTTCTAGGTTAAATCATTCTTTTGTATTCAATTGTATTATGCATAATTAATGAAACCCTATCCTCTTTTTCCTTTTCTTTATTTCTTTTGATTGTTTAACAATTTCCATAATTCAAAGAACATGACACAGATATTGAAATTTGGAAAACTCATGAATTCGCTAACAACTGAGATTAAAACAATAATCCCAAAATAAATCAAAGCAACAATATTCGGATTAGCATAATAAATTCCACGAAAACAAAATCTTGTATAGCTTCACCATGACCGCACTTGCAAATGAGATTCAGACACTATCAAAATTAGACTAATCAGCTTTAGCTGCAGTAGCAGCAGCTTGACCCCGAAGCCGACCAGTCCTCCTTGCAGCAATAAGACCAACCTTTTGGCCAGGTGGTGCATCACGGCGAACAGTACTGGCATGACCAATGTGTTGATGGTTACCACCACCATGGGGATGCTCCACCGGATTCATAGCAACACCACGAACCTTAGGCCAACAGTTCCTCTTCACTCTGAACTTGTGGTAGGCATTTCCAGCCTTCAACAGTGGCTTCTCAGTACGTCCTCCTCCAGCAACCTGGCCAATCATGGCACGGCACTCACTCGGGACAATTTTCTTGGCTCCTGATGGGAGCTTAATCCTATCAATACATGAATCAGCAGAATAAGAAACAAGAATAAGATACATTGCCTCTCATTCTTGGGCCCAAGATGAACAAGTTACATCGATCTAATCGTACATAAAGACCATGAAAACTATTTATGCTTCATTACATGTTTGGTGACAAAAATTCCTCAGAACAATTAGCATTACCATCATTTGAGAATAAGAAGACTGAAGAAGAAATACAGTTATACTAATCAATTGTAAAATGTTAAGCTTATAGTCAAATTAATCTATAAATATATTGAATTATCATATACAGCGAGAATCAATAGATATTTTGCTTTGAAATCTCATCAAATCGATATAAATAACGAAAAACAAGAACTTCAATTCAAACAGAATGTTAAATATTCAAATCAATATAAACAAAATAGTGCAGTGATCACAATTCCAATTTTTAACCTATAATCATTAACTACATAAGGAATTTAATTCATAACACATGCAAATAAACAACGAATAGTACATAAACATAAATATATCTATATATAAAAGGATACCTGGAGGTTCCATTGTCTGGGTTATGGGAGATAACGATAGCGTAATCCCCAGATGCCCTGGCCAAAACCCCACGATCACCAACATGGTGCTCAACATTGCAAACAACAGCACCTTCGGGGATGGATCTAAGGGGCAAAACATTGCCAACGACGAGGCTGGCTTTCTTGCCACAGTAGAGAAACTGGCCAGTGTAAATTCCCTCGGCGGCGACGAAGAGCTCCTTTTGGTGCTTGTACCTGAACGGGTGCCGGAAGGTGACACGAGCCAGAGGGGCGCCACGCCCAGGGTCGTGAATTATCTCTGTCACAACACCCTTGAGGTACCCATTGCGTTCGCCGAAGTCGAGGGAGCGGAAGCGGGCCGGGCCCTTGCGGTGGTGCGTGTGGGACTTAAAAACAGAGCCTGCTCCCTTACGCTGTGCCCTGATTACACGACCCATTCTAGTGTGTGCTGTAGGATGGGGAAGGGGAGAGGGAGGCGACGGCGGCAGAAGCTGGGAGTTGACGAGTGAGGCTTATATGAGGAAGGAAAATGGGGAAGAAATAGGGTTTCAGTGAGACGGGGAGGGGCTGTTTGGATTGTGTTGCCTAGGCTTTGTTTGGTTACAGGATTTGCTTATTGGGTATGGAGGCCCATTTAGATGGACAAGTCGGACTAATGACGGGTGAGTAACAAATCAGTTGGGAAATTAAAAGAACATAACTCTTAAATTTTATTTTTTTTTAAATAAAAAATCTTGGATTTAATCAAATTAAAATATTTTATCATGTCGAACAGCCGAAGTGCTCCAACGACCAAAGATGAAGAAATAATCCAATATTTCACACACATGTTATATGGCATNTAAAAGAACATAACTCTTAAATTTTATTTTTTTTTAAATAAAAAATCTTGGATTTAATCAAATTAAAATATTTTATCATGTCGAACAGCCGAAGTGATCCAACGACCAACGATGAAGAAATAATCCAATATTTCACACACTTGTTATATGGCTTGATTTTACATAATTTTTCTACTCATCAAATTAATGTGTCTTCGCAGAGGTGAATAAAAACAATCAAATTGAAGCATTGGTTGTTTAGGTAATGTGTATAACCAAACAGCTTTAAAACGATTCGAATTAGATTTCAATAGTCAAATTCCATTTGAAAACGTTTATATGCATTTAACATTTAAACATAGTGCATGGAATATGATTCAATACATACTTACATCGGAGATGAAATAATACTTCTCGAAGTGGTTAATTACGAAAATAGCCCCATCAACTTGTGCTTGGGCAATATTAACAACCGCACATGAGCTACATAGAGATTCCTCACTATGATATGCAATGTATAATTCAATAACAAACAAGCAAGGTTGTAGACTTGTAGTGTTGTACACTGTATTTGCATCACAATGACATGAGATTCGACAAATTCATGCACACACTGCAAAAGGAGGACGATGACTAATCTCTTTTGATCAAAATTATTATTATAGCCATGACAGCCAATCCCATGAAGCATGCTTCCAAAGCCGTGTCTAAAGAGTTTAATCTCGCGCTTCCATTAGAATTTGCAGATGCTTTATCAACTTCAAAGAAATTCCGAAAATAATCAGACAAGCTGCTCAACATATCTACCACTGTTACCTTGATTTTCTTGAAAACATCCTTAGGCCTACTCCCAGCAGTGGATTCCCTGGAATCGGATGATGTATCAACTGTGTTTAGAGATGATTGATCCGGAAGATTATTACCTGCCAATAAAACCACAATAAAGATGTATACAAATTTTTCTAGCAGTCACTAGATGAATGACAGACATAAGTCATAACCAAGATTTCTTACTGTTCTTGTGTGATTGGAGAAACTCTTGAAGTTCTCGGTTTTCTAACACCGCGTTCCACACCTTTGTGTCATGAACAATTGATGCGACAACATTCTAGCACAAGAACAGATTCAGCTATTATAATCACAAATTTATGGTTGGTTCCGACTAAGCAATAACATTAATGAAATTATATGCATCTTTTGCTGTCCCAGAAATTTCATGTGCTTTGAATGCTCAATGTTGAAACTAGTGCATGTTTGGATTGGCTTAACCTATAATTTAAGTTGGTCAAATCCAGACATCCCATAGAACCTACTACTACTTCAAACATGCATTTAGTATTCGACTTTGCATTTAGAATAAATTAACAAATTAAATATTCCACGTCCGTGCATATTAAGAAAAAAAAAAACAAGTTCATACGTATGCAATTAGAAAAATGCACTCCATCCTAGAATAGAACGAGATATATCAACAGGAAAACCTGAACTCTAGAGCTTTCATTTAGAAGCCTAAATGCCTGAATAGCATGCATCAGCTCTCCAGAGACTGGTGTAGACCGATTGGTAACACAGGCTTTGTTCTCCAATACTTGCGAGTCTGACACCACCGATGAGCTTGGGTGATGATCTTCTATAAGCAAACTGTCATATCCAACGGACTCAGGTGAAGATAGATATACCCTGAAAAAATACAGCGAAACTATCAAACAAACATTCGCATGCAGAAACAAAAAGATAATCAAAAGGAGGACAGAATCACATCCTGCCACAGCCAAGCTTTTCTTTAGGAATGGCTAGAGTTTCACAGGCAATAATTAGGAAAGTTGGATCCTAGGTCCTGAACTTGAGGTAAAAATTCGAAAGGCACACAAATGGACTAATAGTGACTCTGTTACTTGATCTTTGTTAGTTCAACAAACTGTATCCCTTCCTCAAGCCTTGCTATCAATAGTGCAAATACAAAAAGGAAAATGAAATTCAAATATCATTAAAACCTTGAATTTGAGGCTAATTATTGCTATAAAAGATATTAAAATAACTAATATTTAACTTCCATTAAAATTTCCTTAAGTAGAAAGGGAAAAAACATTTATGAATCATTCATATCCTATACTACTAAGATTAAAAGGATACACAAAGTGAAGTGCCGAGCACTAATATAATCCCGAAAATATACGATCACATTCAACTCAACAAAAAAATTCTGTCCAAATGTTAATAAGATAGTAAGAAGATTTAATCCAACAATTACTTCAAAACCATAGTATCATAAAGACTAATTTATTATTTCAATAGAACATTCAAAAATTCAAATTTCTCAACGAAAATGAGTAATAACATACTTTTCGAGAGCGTCAGAGAGTTCAGAAGTTGCCTCTTTTGCTTCCTCAAGACTCGGCACGCCACCAAATACAACCCTAGGCAAAGATTCGCCGGCCGTAACCATCAGATCCTCCTCGCCGCCGGCGAGCTCCCAGTCATCGAGCTCCCAGCACCGCCTCTGCACATCGACCTGGGACTGTGACAAAGCCACAAAGTTCACGTCCTCAGCCGACGAAGCCATTGACGTCACTGAAGGAGCGGATGCAGCCATTCAAGCGACGGCTGAAATCGGGTAGTTTTCCGGCTTCAGTCCTCGGAGTCCGACATTTCCCAGCGTAATCCCGGCCACCTTCGCTGCAGCCCTCATCGCTCCTCCGCCTCCCATAGTTAATTATAATTTGGTAACTTCTTTCTATGCGATGATGAATGAAGCCCTAATTTGGATTATAAATCAATCGAAGAGTCGAATCGGTGTATCGGATGTACCGGTTTTCTCTTAATTGAGAGAGTTTCGATTCCGATAGTAAACCAGGAGACGACACGTGTAACTTGTCAGCGTACCTTAACGAGTAAGGAAGGATCCACGATAGAGGATAAGAATATGAAAAGGACAAAAAACAAAAAATTTGCTACATAAGTCAACTTTTTCTCTGTTTAGCCATTATTACTTGTTCCACTTGTATAAGCCCTTTGAGCCCTTACATAGAAAAAAATGTATTTTTGAAATATTAAATTTGTAGAGAATGTTTGATTGAAAAATAAGAAAATTTATTCGATTTATATATATAATTATTTTATTAAAGAATGTGTGATTGAAAATAAGTTTTTAAAAAAATGGATCTCAAACAAGGGTTAAATATCACTCTGTTTACAAAACGATATTATGTCGTTGACAGTCTTAAGTGATCCCATAGTAACGTCTAGCATCATTGACCATCACAATGTCCTCAAGTTAGAAATTAATAACATTCTTGCTGGAGAGAAACTAGAACAGGAAACGTGTAAATTGTAATAAAGAAACTGTAACTTAACTAGTAACCAAGAATCACAAATGAATGGATAAGAATGCATGACAATGTAAAATAATGAAATAATCCACTACTTAGTATAAGTTGAGCAATAATAACATGACTCAACAATTTAATAAATTAATATTAAATCTTGAGATTTACCGCAAATTTATTCACCAATTAATTGATGTTTCATATTACAATTGCTTAATATAAGTTAAAAAATGGTGCTTGGTACTAAATTGTTTCTTGTGTCAAAAGAAAAATGTCGTTAACTCTTTCTGTACATCTCTGTTTGGCTGTTGTTCCACTTGTTTTTTATACTGAGGTGTAAAGATGAAAAGAAACAAAAGTATCAAAACCTTTTCTACGTTTGTGTACAAGCGTTACCGGAACAAGTGAATGAAAGAATTTCAGAAGGAAAAAGGGTCACCACAAGATTACTTTGTTCTTATTAAAATTTAACTGCAACAATTCACAAAAGAGATACAGAGAATTCTCTGAATGTCGTGCAATTCAAGAGCGATTGCTAATTCAAGAGTTCGTAATACATGGAAGCATGGGAAGTTCGACGAATATATAAAACTTGAAGAGAGATCATTTAATACGTTTCGTCAAAATAATCATAATCACCGAGACCACCAACCCAACAATCAATTTTACCAAATTATCTGAAGAGTCAAATTTTGTACTTCCATCATCTTCAATTGAGTTTTTGAACAATACGAACCAACGGATCATCGAATCCATCACGTCCACCACTATCCCCTTCATAGTCCGCAAAAAATTTGTAAACGACTTAAAAGAAGTATTATCATCAATTGTACCCAGAGACGGCTGATCGAGATTAGTTGTAGCTGCCAAAAGCAACACAGTAAAGAATTATGTACATATCTTGTACAGCAGCTAGTGGATGAATGCCACAGATACATAATCGAATTTCTTACCGAGGCTCCTGTGTGACTGGAGCAAATCCTCAAAGTCTTGGGTTTGTGTCACAGCATTCCACACATTTGAATCAGCAACAATAGAAGAAACAGCATTCTAGCACAAGAAGTTAACATAATAAAATATATTGCTGCTGGTACTTCTCAATAATACAAGGTGATTTAAAGTCCCAAACGTTTTTTGCAACGATCCAAGCTTTTGCGTCTAAGTCCTGTAGTTCATGAAAGACTTCGATTGAACTGTGGTACTAATTGAACAACTTGTCCAATTGGTGGTAACGTGATTTAACTTAAATATCTCATAAAGCAATTGAACAACTTGCACAATTAGTACCAAAATTCAACTTATATTTCTAATAAGACTATGGTGAAACAAAGACCTAGCTTTGATCGGTTGATTTATTGACAAGTTCTCAATAAGACTTTAGGAGAGTAAGGAAATCTACGAGGGATTTGATGGATATGGACTTTCAAAATAGACAATACATATATAAAGTCTTGAACACAGATATTGGATCGTTCCACTTAGTGTAAGTACTTATTCGAACTTTCTAAGTAAAACGAGAGGGGTCAGCAGAAAAACCTGAACTTGAGGGCGTTCCATTAGAAGCTGAAATACTTGCATAGCACCCGTAGGCAAATGTGAGTCTGCTACTGCCACGTCCTCACGTCGAACAGAATTAGATGAGGCTAGAAATCTGAAAATTTAAGAAAGAACCCTTTAACAGTTTCAAACAATAAATAGATAATCAAAACCAGGAAGAATTCACATCCTCTCAGAACCAAGGCTTGACTAATTTATTCGCAAGAATTGACTAAAGGGAGAAGAAAATCAATAAAACAGTAAAAATCTAATTTTTTAAAATTGAAAATGATTTATAACATACAATCGGCCAGCGTGAGATAGTTCAGAAGTGGCCTCTCTAGCTTCCTGAAGAGTCGGCAGGCCGGTAGATATAACCCTAGGCGAAGGCTCGCCGGCCGTAACCTCCTGCGATTGTGACGAAGAAGCCATCAGTGGCGTGTCCTTCTCTGTCAGTGAGCGGGCGGACACGGCAGCAACCGAGATCGGGTGGTGGTTCTCCAGCTTGAGCTGCCGGGCACCTCCATTCACCGGCAATGTCCTAGTCACCTTTGCCACTGCCTTCATAGCGTTTGCGCCTCCCATAGCTTATTACTCCAGCTTTTCTATAAGAGACTCTCTGAGCTTGTACTAGACAACGGGTTAGGTAACAACTAACGAGAGAGCGTGGACAATGAAAGAAAAATTAGATTATATAAATTTTCTAATTCACAAAATTGATTGATTTGTACTTTCTTTTTTAATTGGCAAAGTCTCCATATTTTTTAATCAGTGGTCGATCTCGACCATTTAAAGTAAGGGATGACTGGAGATATGAGAGAAATGACGGTGCTTGGTAGTGGGGAGAAAGAAAGCAAAAGTATGAGATTCCCATTAAATTTACTTGGTAGTGGAGAGAAAGAGAAAGCAAAAGTATGAGATTCCCATTAAATTTACTTGGTAGTGGAGAGAAAGAAAGCAAAAGTATGAGATTCCCCATTAAATACGAGAGAGATGATGGTGCTTGGCAGTGAAGAGAAAGAAAGCAAAAGTGTGAGATTCCCCATTAAATTTACTTGGTATTTCCATAAAGTAATAGTTAAAAATTATTAAATCCTAGGTCCAAAAATAAGTTATATATCCTTAAATTTTATTAAATCTATAATTTGATGTTGCAACATATTACGTAGAATTGTTCTAAATATATAACCAAAAATAATATTCTAAATAAGGGAAAAGGTAAATCCTAGTGTCGTGGTCGGCTAAACCATGAATGCACCAACGCAATTGCACAAGCTCGTAGGTTCCAAAATTTGAAATTTATATATTTTAGTTCTTTTCCTTTTTAATAATGAATAAGAAAAATAATGAAGAGAAGCTTAAAATAAAATCCAACCTAAACAATAACCAGCTAGCTAACCTAACAATCAAAATCGAAGATATTTTATCCCCCAACATTTTTTTTTTTCGTTTCTCTTATTGCTGAAAACACCAAACACTTTTGGATTATAATCAAAGTAATAAATCTTTCAATTACAATTTAAAACTGGTAATTGAATCATTCATTTTGAATAACATACCTTTATAGTACTCTATTGTTCTTGAATTGGTTTTGATGATTTTACTAAATTGGTGAGTACTCTATGGTGAGCTTAGCTTTGAGAATGTTATATATATATAAATCTTCTCTATTATGCATACATAATTGAAGATACTTCTAGTTTTCATGGTTTATGCTTGTCATTCTTAAATATGATTATATTTAGGGATAATTGTAGCGGTGGTACCAAACCCTTCATTTAGTAGCACACATTGTTCAAACTTTTCATTTGTGCCACTTACGGTACCAAACATTTCAAAATGTCACACCTGAAATCCAAATGAATGGTTTCTATTAGTTTGACTGTTAGTTGACCAAATAATTGACATTGACAATAATTTTGACTAATTTTAAAAGGTTAAAATGGTAACTTTACATTTTTTATAATAAAATAACTAAAATCAAATAATTAAAATTAAAAATCCATTTTCATCTTCTTCTTTATCGCAACACCTTATTCGATCATCAATCCACGACCAACTCCACAACTTCTTGGATNAACTTTATTTTTCACCCCACCCCCCCCCCCCCCCCCCCCCCCAACCCAAAATTGCAAACTCCAAATTTGGGAAATCAAAACCCAGAATTAAAAGAATGACAAGTATTGAAGCAGTTACTATAAACGATGGGAAAATCTGTTTGGGTTGTGTATGTTTGTTGGTTTTGTGGTTATTCTTTAAAACTATCTATTGTTACTTTTTTTTTCGTTTTTTCGTTTCATAGAATACTTTGGCAATATATTCAGTTGATTGGCATTTTCCTGCATGATATTTGGGGTACTAGCTAATATATTTTACAATTTACATAGTTTTTTTTTTCTCTCTTCATTTTTTGCAGGTGTGCGACATTGGAGCCATTGGAAGATTTGCTGAAGAGGTGGAACTTATAGCATTGGTGATGATCATTGATGGTATTTTATTGTGGGCTGGTGAAGGGAGACGTTTCTTGCCACGTGTTCCTTTGTAATTTTGGCGAATTAGGAAATATTGTAATTCAGGATCTCAGCTTCTCCTTTATCAAACTTAATCAAGCTCAGGTTTTTTAGACCTTAATTTTCTCGAATTAGGTTAATACTGAAAGTTATCATTATTTTAATCTTGAGTCTTGCAGATTTGGGGTGGGTATGTGTGAGGTGAACGGAAAAGAAAAATGTGGAAATTGGTTTTTTTTTTAATTATTTGATTATTTGTTATTTTATTATAAAAAATGTAAAGTTATCATTTTAACATTTTAAAATTAGTCAAGTTTATTGTCAATTTCAATTATTTTGTCAACTAACAGAAATCATCAATTTGGACTTTAGCTGCAATATTTTGAAATGTTTGATACCGTGGACAAATGAAATATTTGAACAAAATCTGTTATTAAATGAAAGGTTTGGTACCGTTTGTAGTAATTTGGGGCCTCAATCAACCACAAACCGAGCTCAGATAAACCAAATCGAACCACCACCATCCGACCAAGAACCTCCAAAACGACACCACCAATCCACCGGTTGCTCCAGCAAGAATCAGTCCACTTAGGACTCGGTGTGAAGAGTATGGCAGCCTCAAGAGACAGCCACAAAGGCTAGAGTTGAGTCTTGCAGATTTGGGGTGGGTGCGTGTGAGGTGAATGGAAAAGAAAAATGTAGAAATTGGTTTTTAATTTTAATTATTTGATTTTTTGTTATTTTATTATAAAAAATGTAAAGTTATCATTTTAACATTTTAAAATTAGTCAAAATTATTGTCAATGTCAATTATTTTTTCAACTAACAGAAATCATCAATTTGGACTTTAGCTGCAATATTTTGAAAGGTTTGATACCGTGGACAAATGAAAGATTTGAACAAAATCTGTTATTAAATGAAAGGTTTGGTACCGTTTCTACAATTATCCCTTACATTTATTTTATATATATAGATACTTGTGTTTTTGTTAATGTTATTGAAGATATTATTCATTCTTTCAAAAAACAATATGATCTTGATTCTTGATAAGCTTTGGATAAAAGCATAGAACATTTTCATTATTCTTGTAAGTGTAGTGTTATTAGTCTATCATGTTTGATTTTTTATCAATTATCGTACTTTCAAATTGTACTATATAATTTTTTTTTAGTGTTTGATAAATCAACTTCATCACAAGAAAAATTGAATGAATTAATTATATTGTCCATTGAACTTGATTTATTACATAAACTTCACTATGAAGTCAATCAACATATAAATACAGAGGGAAGAAAATTAGATTTTACTAAACACTCAACATATAGTTCAATACAAATTTGTAAAATGAAAATAGGCTCTTTGTTGGTTGATAAGTGTGATCAATTCTAAGTTTATATTTTTAGACTACAAGTTTAATGCTTTGTTTTGTTTCGAGCTACTATGAGGTGTGTTTATTTGACTCTATTTTTCATCAAAATTAATGTCATTTTATTTAATTCAAATTTCTATTTTAAGGATGTTCGATTGACATTTTCTATTAGAATATAATATATAAGTTGCCTAGAACTTATTTGCTTTAGATGCAAGTTCCATGCTCAATTGCCCAAAATTTATTTTCTTTACATGTAAACAATGTTTTAAAAATCGACCCGAGTATTGACTTGGAAAAGAGTAAGGGTCAAGGGTCGAAAAGTCGAATCAGGATCCACCCGATTTTTTTTTTTTAATAATTTTACAAAAAATCATCAAATGAAAGCAAGTTTTTTGAAATCACAAAAACTATAACATGAAATCACATACAATTAATATAAAAAATTAAATACAATCAACAAAACAATGTCCCGTTCAATCCAATTACGTAATGTAAAATAATTTCATAATTTTAATTAATTAACAATGTTAACTTGAAAACTTAAATAGTTAAAATTTAAAAGTTTCACATCAGGTTGTTCTCCAATAGAAAAATGTCATGTTATAGTTGAATTCAAAAAGTGCACTAAACATCAAAAGATCGAATAGTTAAATTTCATCTTCATCGTTCTCATCTATAAGCCACTTAGGAACTAGTGAACCTTCTAGGCTTGAACCACCAAAACGATGAATAACATCCAACGTATCGGAATCACCCGCCCCTTGAGTATCAAGCTTATCATTATTTTCATTTTCATTTAAAGCACAAACATAAGAAACCAATATATTAGTTGAAAGTTGAGACTATATCTATGCTTTGATATAATTGATTAATTACATAATACATTAATGTAGGAATTTCCCAAAGTAGTTCTAACATAATAAATATTACAACAATGAGTTTAAATAGTTAAACTTATTACCTTGAACATTCGTATCATTTTCACGATCATTAACATTGAGAATTGCATCTTCTTCATAAATAGCATTATCTAACTCTTCATACTCGAAATCATGAGGTGGTATCTCTTCCTCTATCCAAAAGTCTATCTTGTCAATGCACTCATAATCAACTGGATCATACGATCTTGACTTATAATAAATTCTGTAAGGTTGTACATGAAACTTAGTTATATTAAGAAAACATTATCGATAAACGAGGCATTAAAAATAAACGTGTGACATAGTAAAGAGTTTTAGATTAATGACCTATTCTTCAACCACAAATTATAAGTAACATAGACAAGATCATTGAGTCTTTGATGTTCCAATCCATTTCTTTTTTGTGTGTGTGAATGCGTTCAAAGACACTCCAATTTCTTTCGCATCCCGAAGAAGAAGCTGTTTGACCAAGAATTCGAACAGCTACCTTTTGCAAAGTTGGAGCACTATATCCACCCAATTTCCACCATTCATTTACATGTTATCTAAAAGTTAGTTTTAAGCATTATATTAAATAAACATATACAAAAATAATTAAATTTAAATGCTCACCAAGTTGTAATGACTTTTTAGTATTACATGCAGATTGTCTTCCAAAACTTCCTTCACGATCTCGATACGTCCTTATCTCTCGCATTGCTTTTGTCTCATCATCACAAATGCTTTTGATCTCAAGTAAATTGAAGAGGCCTTGCATGACTTCTACTTTTTGACAAAATCCTT